GGCAGTTGTAAGGAGATGAAGATGATAGAAATGACTATCATAATGTTGCGAGCTGCTTTGAAATATTTGTTGTATCAAACTGGAAACAATGACATTACTCAGGAACATTGTGTCTGGTTATAAAGTTCCCTTCTTCATGAAGCTCCAATTAGAGCTTCTTTGAAATACATAGAGTTCCATTACGAAACATAAACTTGGGCTGGAAGATTCTTTCTTAAAAAGAGCCACCTTACGTTCCACCTTAGCATCGTTTTCAGAGTGTTTAAAGGATTTTCCTGAAATTCTTACGTATATCCATCCAAATATTTTGTTGATATCAACATGTACTACTTTTGGGCATGATTCAACTATTGATAATGGAAGGATTTGATGGAATTGTGTTCAGACTGAAACTTGCGAATTGCAAAAATTTTTTTCAATATATTCCACTTCGATTGAAGCCAAAATGATTTCGGAATCAGATTCCGAATTAAACTATTAGTGAAACAAATAAATGCGAATTTTACTGACCGCATTATATCTTTCTCTTTTCGGTAGCAATTTCATTACATATATGACGATCTGCGTAATCATATTATGCTTGAGATAAGAATATAAAATTCAATCATTTGTCTTAAGTTTTATTGGACTTATTACATATATCATTTTACATGTCTTATTTTACAGTAACTGCACCTACCAAATGATAAATAATTGATAATATTCGTTTTGAAGTCCTGTAGTGTACTCCTGGGCGGGGTGATGTAGAAAGTGTATCTTCAATCGGAGAGTTATTTCCTGAAAAAATTAAATATTTCAGTTCTGAACTGAACAGAACAAATTCGTTTTGGTAAGTAGATTTAGGAACTGAAAAAAATGTTTCCTCATAGGAACAAAAATTCTGTCTTCCGTCGTGTGTTCCGCTAACCAAGTAAGCATAATCAGGAGATGATCTAATCTTAGCCCGAGTATTTCTGATGAGAGAAAAGTGTTGTCAAAATATCCCTTTTGAATGTCCTAAGTCCGAGTATTTCTGGTGAGAGAGAAGTGTTGTCAAAATATCCCTTTTGAATGTCCTTATTATCAGTAATCAGAGCTACTGTACCATTCCCAACTAATTTTTAATTTAATGATGTTAGTACAAAGTATTAGATTCGAAGTTTTATACTTCAACCTAATAACCTATAAAATGAATGCGTGGAATACATCAGTTTTCTCCACCGCTAATGGAATTTTTTCATACTTTTTCTCTTTTGTATATGTTGACTGTTCAAAAAATAAAGTGGATGTTAAAATTTTGCGCGCCACGTACATTTTATTAGCATCTTTTTTAAATTTTTCATGGTGGTAAACTGATCTTGCACATATTTTCACAGTTTCAGAACTGTTTCGCGTGTTCGGTGATTTTCTACTATCGAAAAAAATGAATCAAAAAAATTGCATAAAATTTTGTGGTAAAAATGGAATATTGACAGTGGCATACGGTGATTGTACTCTGAGTAAGCTTTTCACAGAAGGTCGAGTAGATGTGAATGACGACACTCGCCCAGGACGCCATATCAACAACCGATGATAATGTTAAGGAAGTGAAGAAAATTGTTAAGAGGAATCATCGAAAAACTATTAGAGGAGTTGCTAAGGATGTCGGCATATAGGTTGGATCATGCCATGAAATTTTTTTGGGAATTTTGGGTATTGTGGCAGCAAGGTTCGTTCCAAAAGCGCTGAATTTCGATAAAAAAATCCGTCGCATGAAGATCGCTAAGGAATTGTTGATTGCCATCAACAGCGATAAAGATTTGCTGTAAAAAGTCATAGCTGGTGACGAATTCGCGCAAGGAAGAGAAGCCGTCACAACCAGTGCTTGCACTTCCCTATATCAGAGGATTATCGGAAAGGATAAGAAGAATGGGGTCCGAATACAACATTAGAACCTGCTTCAGATCCGAAAACACTATCCGTAGCAGCCTCACGAAAACTAGGCCACCAAACGTGGACTGCGATTCCAAGAATTGCATTTACCGGATACCCTGTAAGTGCGGAAAATCCCATATCGATGAAACTAAAAGGCCATTGAAAGTTAGCATTGCCAAGCACAAAAAACATACACAGCAAGGAGAAATCAGCAAATCAGGAATAGCAGAGCATGTTTGTACCCATCAATATAACATCGAGTGGTCCCAAGCTGGGACCATACACAAGGAGGAACATTGGTTTAAGAGGAGATTCAAAGAAGCCTCATAGATGTTATCCAACAATGTATTCAGTCAAGCTAGCGTGAAGATACGTAACATATGGAAACCATTATCTAGCTAAAAATGGCCAACTTTCGTCTAACGGACATCTCCTGTTAAACCGGTGAAGCGCATGAATCAGTCAAGTCGTCACCCGAAGACGATTGTAGATACTAACAATCGAAGCATTGTGAGCTATAATTTGGCTTGGAATCTCCTAATTTTTTAGTTTTTGTTGAATTGTTCTATTTTTGTATGTATTTTATTTCACTGTTATTTCATTTCAGGGTTTTTCGCTTAATATAATTGATATTTTCAGCTATTCTTTTTTCAATTCTTCTTTTTATCAGTTCTTTCAGGGATTTCAAAACATTTTATATAATATCAGACAATGAAAGTCCGAAATGATGAAATTCATCATGAAACATTTCCGATCACCTTCAAACAAACGTGAGTATATGGTTATGACAACAAAACCAAAGTCCAATGGAAAAGCCCAGTAAGGACAAGATAAAAAAGCACGCCAAGTTCAGTCAAATGTCAAGGTTTTGCTCTCTGCTTTCTTGGATTACCGAGGCGTTTTGCATCAGGATTTCTTGCCACATGGTCAAACAGTCAATAAGGAGTATTATTTCGAAGTTATACGCTGCTTGTGCGATTGTGAAAAACATCCGGGATTGTGAAAAAACAATAAATGTTCCTGTATCGCTTAGAGAGCTGAAGGTCATATCAAAAAGTGCGTATCAAAACTGCCTCGAGGACTGGGAAAAACGCTGGTACAAGTGTATTTTATCTGAAGGGGATTACTTTGAAGAAGACAACATAGAAATTGATGAATAACTGAATATTCACATTTATATACGCAGCCAACAATTGTCATAGGATTTTGTCTTTGAAAATAATATGATTGTTATATGGACAAAAAATTAAATAATTTTTGATTACAGAACGCTTTCTTTGTACTGCAAATCTAAAACAAATGTATACGTTTATAATTCTCATAACCACAACAATAAAGTCACCTGTTAAGTTGTCAACTGATAAACTCACAGATAATTGTCATGAGTATATAATATAATTTCCAATGAAACTGAAGATTGATTCAAAGTTCACATGTTTTTTCTTTTTTCATATACATTTAATTTCAATTGAAACGTGTCACTCTGCCAACATGCTAACAATGATGAAATCACTGTTGTTAACTCGTGTTGATAGTTCAATTTTTCATTTTCTTGTTGTTGCTTGTATTTAATTTCATTGTTATTTCAGTTTTTTTGGTAAATTTCCGTTTTGTGGAAAAGTTGCCCTCTTCTGAACTTTGAAGGGCCGTAACTTTTTAATTGAGGGAGAGCGCCGCTTTTTTCTTTTGGATTCGTAATCTACGCATCAAAATACGTAAGTACAGTCAAACATTTTTTCAAAATCGCCAGGTGTCCACAAAACGAAAATTTACCGCAATGACACCTGTTGCGTGGATAACTCCCCTTTCATCAACCCAGTTAGATGAGGTAATAATACCATTAGGTAAGTTAGCAGTAGTAGCTGTGATTTTTGTGAGAGTTTCTATGATTTGGCCAATACTAAAGCACCCTAAATCAGATGATATTTTATCTACATAAATATCATGGATATTAGAAGAGCTCCGCCGCATATGACTGTATTTTAGTAGGATGTAACAAACTTTGAATACCTTCCATTTCACCTATGAAAGAATTATTATTTATTTTTGGAGGCTTGTATATTGCACCAAGAGCAATAGTTTTACTTTTGATTTATATGACTTCCCTCCTGGATCAAAACGATCGTCATCTCACTAATGGAGACTAACTAATGAACCTCGTTCAAAGCACAGGGAAGAACAACAATTGACTGGAAAAGTTATGGCCTCGGTTATATTGGAATATGCGTAATGTAATATTAATCAACTATATTGGGATGAGCAATCCCATCAACAGTGAATATCATATAGCGTTATTGGAGCGTTTGAAGGCCGAAATTGCAAAGAAACGACCGCAGAGAAAAAAACAAAAAATCGTGTCATAAGTCAATCAAAACAATGGCCAAAAAACGCGCTTTCGTTCTTAGGCCGGAACGTTTCAGTCCATGTGTTATAACTTGTTGAATTTAGATCATGATAAATAATTGTACAGGATGAAAAAACAATATATTGCTAAGAAAAGGGCTACCCTAGAAGGTTCATGAAAGAGATAGATGAAGTGCTCCAGAATTACCGATTCTTATGAAACCTGTTGAATGGGAGTAGAAAATATGTTTTAAATGAGAGAGATTTGATTCTATCATCCAGTCATAGGACAATCATTTGAATTAAAATGACAACTTTTACGTAGTACCTTCAGTATATTTTTCTCCAATGAGTACTTTTTCAAATACGTTCAAATATTTTCTTTTAGGAATTGTGAGATCCCCACAGTGTTCAGAGAGAAAATATAAATATTCATTCTCTCATTTCCCAATATGAATTAGTACTTTATTCCATGAACAGCGTATACAATATTCTTTGTACATCAGTATCAATAGTACCTTCTCATTTTTCAAATCGATCAGTAAGGATATAAAAACAATATATTTCAGATTGATCGGCCATCAATCGGTTCTTACAAGGTTGAAGTGTGATGTTTTTGATTTTTTTTGATGATTATGAAATTTTTTCGGCATCTTGAATAGATATAGACAACCCAGTTAGATGAGGTAATAATACCATTAAGTAAGTTAGCAGTAGTAGCTGTGATTTTTGTGAGAGTTTCTATGATTTGACCAATACTAAAGCACCCTAAATCAGATGATATTTTATCTACATAAATATCATGGATATTAGAAGAGCTATGTTAAGATCTCCGCCGCATATGATTTTATCTATAGTAGGATGTAACAAACTTTGAATACCTTCCATTTCACCTATGAAAGAATTATCATTTATTTTTGGAGGCTTGTATATTGCACCAAGAGCAATAGTTTTACTTTTGATTTTTATATTTACCCAGAGTTGTTCCGATACCCTTTCACGATGATTCAATTCTATGACTTTCCTCCGGGATCAAAACGATCGTCATCTAACTAATGGAGACTAACTAATGAACCTCATTCAAAGCACAGTAAAGAACAACAATTTGCTGGAAAAGTTATGGCCTCGGTTATATTGGGATATGCGTGATGTAGTATTAATCGACTATTTCGGGATGAGCAATCCCATCAACAGTGAATATCATATAGCGTTATTGGAGCGTTTGAAGGCCGAAATTGCAGAGGAACGACCGCAGAGAAAAAAACAAAACATCGTGTCATATTTGTACAGGATGAAAAAACGATATATTGCTAAGAAAAGGGCTACCCTAGAAGGTTCATGAAGGAGATAGATGAAGTGCTCCTGAATTACCGATTCTTATGAAACCTGTTGAATGGGAGTAGAAAATATGTTTTAAATGAGAGAGATTTTATTCTATCATCCAGTCATCGGACAATCATTTGAATGAAAATGACAACTTTTACGTAGTACCTTCAATATATTTTTCCCCAATGAGTACTTTTTCAAATACGTTCAAATATTTTCTTTTAGGAATTGTGAGATTCCCCCCAGTGTTCAGAGAGAAAATTTAAATATTCATTCTCTCATTTCCCAATATGAATTAGTACTTTATTCTATTAACAACGTATACAATATTCTTTGTACATCAGTATCAATGGTACCTTCTCAATTTTCAAATCGATCGGTGAGGATATAAAAACAATATATTTCAGATTGATGTTTCGGCCATCAATCGGTTCTTTCAAGGTTGAAGTGTGGTGTTTTTGATTTTTTTGATGATTATGAAATTTTTTCGGCATCTTGAATAGATATAGAGTAGGAAGGATAAAAATCTGTGTTTATACCGTGATTAACTTTATTAACTTTGCTTGGTCCGGATCTATTCATTATTATTGAACACAAAATTTATTCATCATTATTGCCACTAATCAAAATATTTTCGGAAAAAAAACATAACCTACTCCACATCATCTGGATAGCAAATGACGCTCATGTGGCCATTAATATCATCGTCTGTCAGTTGGCCCAAGTAAACTGTAACTGAATTTTCAAATGCTCCTGACGACACCAATCTAACCGTTGTTGTATCGCAAGCGACAACCTCCACGTGTTTTCCTGCAAATAAAAAAAACATTATTTTTGTTGGACAATACTACGAAGCCGAAATAATTGGTTAGTTTAGTAAAAGTTCACTATCAGTAACCCACTAGACATAAGGACAGCGAAAGTCCTTATTTTTCTTATTGTCTGATTGATTCGGCCGTTACTTGATGAAGATCCATAGTAATTTCAAAAACTACACCTCACGATTTGATCTCCACAAACTTTATTTGAAAAATATATCACAACATGTTTCGCTAGCACAGTCGATTTTTCAAGTGATTCATACTTCAAGTTGTTCCTACACTAATATTTATATACGACAGGTAACCATAATTAAGACTACCTCCAAAAAATAACCTAAACCTCTACATGAGGTACCTGTTCAATTATAATCAACTGAAGCATATGCTTCAGGTAGATAGGTAATTTTTTGGAGATAGTCTCAATTATAGTTACCTGTAGTATGTAAATATTAATGTAAGAACAACTTGTAGTATAAATCACTTGAAAAAACTACTGTGCTAGTGAAACATGTGATATATTTTTCAAATGAAGTGAGGTGTAGTTTTTGAAAAAGAAAGTACTTATATCTAGTGGGAAAAAATTTCAATTCATCTACTCAGTTACTGTATTTATTTTTAGACTCAGGGATCAGTGATGTTTCCTGCAAAAATTGAAAATGACATGTCGACCCATATATTGTTTTATTTTTGAGAAATTGTTCATATTCGATTCAGCTTATCTGAACCTTTTAATATTGAAAAATAAAAAAGTTAAAGAATGTATGTTTGAACATAGCGGCTTCCTTTGAACATAAAAGATCCCCAAAACTTCAAATTTCCCTCAGCACAACATGAGTGATACAATTTGTTCAAATATTTTCCCAGGCCGGAGGTGTCTTTCGAGAACGTGCCATTTGTACAGAATTGCCAACCCTTTGTCTCTGATAATGAAATAGAAACGAGTTATTTATGTGTACGAAGAGAAAAGGTTCTCTTTGTGTACATTGGGAATTACAAATTTAAATGTATATTCCAAATTGTTTATTTGAGAAACCGGTAGAGAACGTGACCAAACCTACGGATGAAATTTCAATTTGATGAATTTAAGCCCTCTACAACTACGTTGAAACTCATTCCTACCCAATTTGTGATAATACTACACCGTTTTCCTTGCCAACGTCTTCAGTAAACTATACTAAAACTTTTTTATATCTTACATTGCTATAAGAGCGTTGAAAGACTCATTAGCTGTGATATCATTGGTTGCATTGCTATTACCATTTCGAAATTACATATTACTCTGTTCAAAATATAAGGTGAATTTTCATTTTTCTCCATTTCGTTCTCTTCAAAGTTGTCCCCCTCGAAAATAATATACCCGTGCATGCGTTTTTCCAGTCCTTAAAACAATTCTAATATGCACTTTTTGTTATGTCCTTGAGTTCTCTTAGCGATTCGGTGTTCATCTTCTCAATTTTCACAAAAAAACCCTACTTTCATGGATCTCTTCAATCTTGAGAACAGAAAAAAGTCGCAGGAGGCCAAATCTGATGAACACTATGACTGAGGCATGGTTACGGTGTTGTTTGTGTTGATCGAACTTGACGTGCTTTTTTGGACTTGGCCCTCCTGGGACAATTGGACTTTGGTTGTCATAACCATATGCCCATGATTCGTCACCAGTTGAGTCATCATTAAGCAAATCTGGATGGCCGTTGATGTTAGTCAACAATACCTAATCAGGAATTAATTTCGCTGCCACACGCTGCAACCCCAAAATTTACAAAAAAATGCATGATATGAGCCAACTGATGTGCCAATATTCTCAGAAACTTATCTAGTAGTGATTCGACGATACTTTATAACAGTTTTTTCCACTTTCACACTCTATTCATCGAAAGCGATCTCTGTTGTCAATAAGAGGAAATGCTGGAACCCCGAAACATTGATGTTATGTGGTTCAAAATCATATCACAGAAGATCACTAAATTCATATGCTGCGTTTATTAACCATCTAGTGATACACAATATATGTCTCAACTTTCTTCACTTGCTGGAACCTTTGACTTTCTGCAAATCAATCATTCCAGTGCCGAAGTTTCCATATTCGGTGACTTCAATTTCCATAATTTCGAATGGCTCAAATTTTCAAATATCAACGACGAACAAGGTAGCGAAGCTGGGGCTTTCGCAATAAGCAGCAGACTTACTCAGGATTCCTGATCGTGATGTAGAATATGCTAGTATTCTGGATCTGTACTTAACAACCAATCCAGAAATCAACACAGTCACCGTAAGGTCTCCATATTTGTTTTTTTCAAAGTTGTCTCCCTTGAAAATGATACACTCGTGCATGTGTTTTTCCAGTCTTTAAAGCAATTCTAATATGCACTTTTTGTTATGTATTTGAGTTCCCTTAGCGATTCGTTGTTCATCTACTCAATTTTCACAAAAAAAACGCAGGAGGCCAAATCTGGTGAACACTATGACTGAGGCGGTGTTGTTTGTTTCGATCGAACTTGGCGTGCTTTTTGGACTTGACCCTCCTGGGACGATCGGAATTTGGTTGTCATAACCATATGCCCATGATTTGTCACCAGTTGAGTCACCAGTTGAGCAAACCTGGATTGCCGTTGATATTTGATATTTTTGATAAAAATCAGGAATTAATTTCGCTGCCACACGCTGCAAACCCAAAATTCCCAATATTGCATGATATGAGCCAACTGATGTGCCAATATTCTCAGCAACTTCTCTAGTAGTGATTCAACGATACTTTATAACAATTTTTTTCCACTTTCACACTCTTTTCATTAAAAGCGATCATAAAAGCGATCATTAAAAGCGATAAGAGGAAATGCTGGAACCCCGAAACATTGATGTTCAAAATCATATCACACAAGATCACCAAATTCATATGCTGCGTTCATTGACCACCTAGTGATACACAATGTAGGGCACAACTTTCTTCACCTACTGAAACCTTTGACTTTTTGCAAACCAGTCATTCCATATTCTGTGACTTCATTTTCCATAATTTCGAATGGCTCAAATTTTCAAATATCAACGACGAACAAGGTAGCGAAGCTGGGGCTTTCGCAATAAGCAGCAGACTTACTCAGGTTATGAATGAGCGAACCAGGATTCCTGATCGTGATGTAGAATATGCTAGTATTCTGGATCTGTACTTAACAACCAATCCAGAAATCAACACAGTCACCGTAAGGTCTCCATTGGGATCTTCAGACCACAAACTCATTTCAGTTTTGACTGAATTATTGATGAATTTTGGGAAACAATCTAAGCCGCGCAAAGTTTGGCATTACAGATCAGCTGAGTCGGAGGATCTTCGAGACCATTTCCGAAATTTACCCTGGCTAGATGTTTGTTTCAGCTCTGAAGATCCATCAACTGCTTCTGAAGTCACGGAAGTTATTATATCATCCATGGATGCATATATTCCTTCATCAATGAAACGACTATCTGACGGCAAACCTTGGTTTAACAAAAATTGTTGTCGCCTTCAAAAATCTCTAGTCTACCGGCAGTGACGCGAAAATCCCAGTTCCGGAAACCGAACTAGGTTTGATAATGCTCGCAACAGCTGCAAACTTAGGATAAATGAAAGCTAAGAACTTCACAATCAGAGAATTAGGGATGAACTGCTTGCCAATCCCAACGGGTCTAGATCCTTCTGGTCGGTAGCTGAAGCTGTTGCTAAGTACTTTACAACATCCACAATTCCACCACTAACACGAGCGGATGGTTCAATTTCAACAACAGCCGCGGAAAAAGCAAATCTACTAGCTGAACAATTTGCGTCCCACTCCACAGTCGATTTTCTGGAAAAGGCACCACTCACTATTTCCACACTAGAATCCACAATGCCCAAAATCATTTTTCGACAGCGTCTAGTCAGAGGAATTTGATGAAGTGCCCGTCTTCGTACTTAAAAAGTGCGGAAATGAACTCGCATCAGTATTTTGCAGACTTTTCAACCTGTCTTACAAGAAAGGGGTTTTTCCTTCTTGTTGGAAGATTGCTCGAGTTCAGTCTGTCCCTGAAAAAGGCGAAAGAAATATAGACCAGTCGCTTTGCTATCAGTGATATCGAAAATCATGGTGATAGTCGTAAATCACCATATCCTCAAATATTCGGAAGGCTTCAACATCTTGAACTAGCATCAATATGGCTTTCAGAAGCAACGATCAGCAGGCGACCTCCTATCGTATGTCACCCATATTTTGAATAACGCAATCGAGAAATATGGAGAATCAAGAGCTGCTGCGCTTGATATTTCGGAGGCCTTTGGCCGTGTGTGGCATGAGGGTTTGCTGGCCAAACTCCGATGATATGGCTCATCGGATCGATTTTGCGTATGGTTCTGCAGCTTCCTGAAAAAACGTTCCCTGTAAATGGCCGTCGATGGATGTCTCTCGAATACTTTCACCATCAACGCTTGGTGTTCCCCACGGATCCACATTGTCTCCAACCCTCTTTTTATTGTATATCGACGACTTAATGTAAAAATTCATAAATCCAATATATTGCTTTGCTGAAGACAGCACACTTGTTTCTTCATTTCATTTGGATTCCAGGACATCGGCTATGAAGATTTAATCTCCAGCGATTCAAATCCGATGTGAATCGCTACTTTCGCACAGGCACCGCTCTGAGAGCGCCTTAATTTTCCTGTAGTACTCGTGTTCTCTCCTTAAAAAAACATTCTCCACAGTTGTTTATAGTCTGGGGCGTCCAGGGCAAGCATCGTCATTCAATTCTTCTCGACCTTCTGTGAAAATCCTGTATCACTCGTGAACATCTTTTCGACTCAGAGTACAAACACCGTATGTCATTGTCAACATTTCAAGAGAATTTGGGCACCTATTTTCATTTTAACACATTTTTTCGATAACAGAAAATCGCCGAACACGCAATACACTTTTATGTGTCTCACCAACAAACTAAACTAAACTAAACAACCGCTAAACGGTTGAAACTAAAACATATGTTCGAGACGAGTGTACTAATACGAAAAATTAAAAGTAATTGCTAATCGAATGTATGTAATCCGTCAAATTTGACCATCCACCTTATTTTTTGAACTTGTTGCAAAATACAGTATTCTCTAGATCGGTAGATTCTTTGGAAATGTTCACAAACATATTTCAGAAAGGAATAAATATAAAAATTTCATGACTCAACGTACTACTGATCTCATAAAAATGCTTCAGAACGAAACTCGCACATGAAAAGTCATGTGGTAAAATGCTTATTGCTTCATAGATGAAAATATCCAAGATCATCAAAGATAGAATCTCTGGCGTAAAATGAATGTTCCAGAATACCACAACCGAAATTCTCTTCTTAACGGGCGTTCCGCCAACCAAGGGGGCTTCTTCAAGAGATGAAGGACACATGAAGTGTGCGAGTGTGTATCTAGGGTCACAAAGAAAAGAAACTAATTCTTGAATTCTATCCCCCTTCAGTGGAAAAGTCAGACATTTATGGAGATGATATAAGTTTTTTCTCGAAATGAGTCAAAAAAACAACGTCTCCGAATATTAACATGTTTGTAATCAACACATAATTGCCCTGTTTGTAGGCCTTGTTAAAGTAGGAGGATTCCTGTGAGGATTCCTGCACTGACGCCTGTCGGATATAATCCAACGCCCTTCGTGGTATTAGCCAGGGCAGTAGTTGTTTTCTGATAGGCGTCAGTCCATTCAACCTACTGTGTAGGTATATTCGAGACTGGCTTGAACGTTTAAAGTTCATTTCTTTAGATTTGTTCACTGCCAGTCTTCAAGCATAGGCCCACTGACTAATAAGAAACATTATAATATCAGCAATATTCAATTCGTTTCCGAATATCCACCCAATTATTGATTGAAATGTAATAGCCATTATCTACAGATATGTAATTTCACTAACTTTTTTAAGTGTATAACTTTCCTTGGTTTGAAAACTGAACAAGCCTTAATTATGAGAAACTTTGCTGAAGTGTAGTGAATGGCAAAACCCAATACACTTACCCCTCAACTGAAACGGAACTTACAAGTTTCCAACCCAACGGTGTCAAAACACCTTTCAAAAATCCACAAACCGGGAAAATCAATGCGTCCCTTCGTGTCAGCTATTGGATTTCCTACCTACCAAAGAGCAAAATGGTCCACTAAGGAATTTGAAAGCTTGCCTATTGCGGAACCAGGTTTCAGTGTCGACAACTATTTAGAGTTCATACAATATACAAAAAACAACGTTCAGCAAGAAGGTGAGATTTTGGTTTTCTATTATGTTGGTTCTTTATTTCCTAGCGCCCCAATTCCACAGAGCTTACAATTTCTCAGGGAATTACTAGAGAAAATAATTTCAATATCAACGAAATTGATGAATTCGTTTCTCTCACTAATTTGTGTATGAAACGAAACCGTTTCTAGGTAGAAAGTTGCTTTTATGAACAACAGGAGGGAACGGCTATGGGTACCTCCTTGTGTCCCTATCTGGCAAACCTGTTCATGAGTAAATTCGAAATGGAAACCAAAGAAAAATCAATGTATTTTCCTAGGATATAGCTCAGGTGTGTAGATGATGTTTTTGTGATATTCGGTAACAAAAAATAGAATATTTAGGACTTCGTTTTCACTTTGAGTAACAGATTTCCATCAATAAAATTCACGTATGAGTTAAAGAATAAGGAAAAACTTCCATTTCTGGACTTTTTGGTAACGAAAAGCCGATGGGAAAAGCTGGAATATACGATACAATACAATACAATACTTTATTTTTCCTGAGACTTTTTTACAAGCATGGAAATCGTATGTATTCAGGATGAAAACAAGCACGTTCGGATATATTCCTGACAGTTCACATCACTGTGGACAGAACAAACTTGCTAAGCTGAATTTTTTAGTGCTTCGTCTTTTGACTGAGAACAACTCAGTAGTACTTGTACTAACTGAGTTGAACTTCGCCTTTTGTTATATCAGCAACTAGCTCTGTAAATATTTGTATGTAACTACAGCTGGGAAACAATAAAGACGATTATCATTATTATTGTTATTATATTTCTTCATCGTAGTGTGCGCTGGTCAGATCCTATCCCCCGAAGCCCCGATACATTCGGGAGGGTGCGCCAGCATTATCAACCAATGACCACTCCTCACACCGTAGGGTAAATGGGGTTCGAGAATCATGTGCCCTGAGCAAGCGCAGTGAGCCAAGAATGACAGCCTTCTGCATCTGTGCGGCTAAGATTTCTGCATTAGTGCGGCAAGCCGGTATGATTTCAAGATTCGATAGTAGAGAGGACATCATTCCACCAAGGACTCCAATAATCAGAACAACCATCTTGGTAGAGTGATCTGGATAGTGTCTGCGGAGTTCGAAGAGAAAATCTCGATATTTTATCCGTTTTTCCTCCTCTTTTCTGACGATATTCGTCTCGCCAGATGCTGAAAACTCCACGACAAATATCGTTTTGGTCTGGTGGTCGAGAAGGACTACATCAGGCTTATTAGCTTGTATGAGCCTGAAGATGGGGAACGAATAATTCCAATGAATTCGGCACTTCTCGTTCCCCACAACGGATTCAATATCCCCCGGAGCGTAGGGCAACACCGGTGTCTCGTCAATACCGTGAAAGTGCCGTAGATGGTAATATAGCACTCTCAAGGCCGCGTTGTGTCGATGGATATAAGCCGAGATCGCATATGCTGGACATGCTGATAGCAAGTGCATTAGGGTATCGGGGGCCTCGCGGCAGGCCCTGCACCTTGTGTCAGGAACCTCTTTCCCCATCACGCGACTGCGGTAGACTAAGGTGTTGAAGACACCATCCTGACAAGCCATGATGAACCCCTCAGTTTCCGACTTCAGCCCACTCGACCTGAGAAAAGCGAACGTCAGGCGCTTTGATAAGCCAAGGTCTACACTGTCATTGAAGAAGACTCCATGCATTGGCTTATCCTTGTGTCTCCGCAGGAGTAAGGTGAACTCTGCGACTTTTATCTGAGCTTTTTGCTGAACGAGTTCATCAGCTGCTCTTGCAGCTGCCCGAAGGAGGAATGCTCCAATTCCTGCTCTCTCATGGTCACGGACCATGCAGAAAAGGGGATCCGAACTCCTGATGACTTTACAGGCTGTATCCAGCCGTGGAACGGACGATTTGGGATGCAAACTCCTATAGAAATGCATCATTTTTCGGGTCTTTACGTCGAGTTGATACAGCTCCTCCCGAGTCCACTTCACTACTCCAAACGAGTAGAGTAAGATTGGAACGGCAAGCATATTTGTTGCAGCAACTTTGTTCTTCCCCGACAGTTCCGATGACCAGATCTGTCGAAATTTGTGCTGATACTTGCCGTGGAGAGAGTTTTTCACTGCAGTTACCTCTTGTGAGTGGCGTTGTTCCACCCCGAGGTAAGTATACGTCTCTCCGGCATCCAGATGGTATAGGATGCTTCCATCTTCGCCTTTTGTTATATCAGCAACTAGCTCTGTAAATATTTGTATGTAACTACAGCTGGGAAACAATAAAGACGAATATCATTATTTAAAATAAGTCATACACTACAAGGACTCCTAGGAAATCCATAGGATAAAGTCAAGAATTCGGAAAAGTCTGGAATTTACGGAATTTAATGTTGAGACTGCGATGCAGAATATTATGGCCAAACTGAAAGATCTATTAAAATGAGATATAAAGAACACTCAGCACACCTAAAATACGAAAGATCAGAAAAATCTGCAATCGCCCATCATATTTTACAACAAAACCATTCCAAAGACTAGTTCATTGATATCAGTTAGACAGGTTAACAACAACAGGTATCTGTAGAAATAAGTGAACATAATGATATTATGAATAAGGATGGTGGATCAATACCTAATACTATACTATATAGCTTGTTAAATATTTCATTCATCATATTTACCTGACTGTTAGATGAGGCGATATTGTAAAGTTAATTCAACACTACTAGATAAGGCAACATGTAAAATTAACTTACGACAATTAAGACGCAGGTACCTAGCAGAGGTATCTATGGTATAAATAAGAACACTATTGTATGTTATTTAGTTCAATCTTCGTGAAGATGATCATTTGGTGATTGAAACACGTGTCGAGGTTTCAAGAATAATCAACTGAAAAAAAATTATTTCCACAACCATATTTCTTTAGATGGCCAACGTTTCGAAAAGTAATCCTTTTCTGTTTTCGAAACCCAATAAATGCAATCTGTAATCGCGACAGAATTATTACCAGGTATATTGCCAACGCCACAAGGTATATTTTCCAAACGTCGACCATCTAAAGGAATCTAAGTATAGAAATTCTATTTTCTCGATTGGTTTTTCAATTTTGAGGAGAGCTTGATGAATACGACAAGTTACTGACGAATTGGAATCTTCAGTAATTTATATTACGCAGTAACTTCAGCAGATTCTTTATTGATCTAGTTTTGTTTATTTTTCTCATTGTTGAAAGTTACACCTCCAATAGACCGTAATAAACATTGACTATTTCACAAAAAATGTATTTCAAAGAATCTATGGAATTTTACTTTTACCTGCTTTTGAGTCTAGCCCGCAAAGCGTGTCAGCTAATTGGAGGTTGGCATTATCCAGTCCTGGAGAACCCCCTATCTGCACATAATCGTCTAATCCACGTTTCTGGCACTGAAATAGCAAACCAATTAGTGGCGACTAGACAAGCAACATATTGTTTGTACGAATACGAAACATGGCAACAGGATATTAAACATTTCTCCGAATTAGCTTCGCAGACACATTCACAATAGATCGTATAACGAAAAATCCATTATCTTGAACAATAATTAGAAAACTGTAAATATTAACAGTTTTATTGTAGTGCTGGAAGATTTTTGACATTTTCTTCAATAGAAATTCATCGTGTATAACTTCAACGGTAGCTTTTGACTAGAAGAGTATGTATCTCGAACTTAATAGAAAATAATATTCTGAAGTAACGAATAGTGATCATTGATCCTTACCAAAAAGATTTCTTTTAAAGGGATTATTCAAAATATGAGGTCTTCACTAACGAACCTAACCTAAGAGACCAAATCAGGCAAGACATGCAGATTACCCACTGTGTTTCAAAATGTTCAATACGAATTTTATGTCAGATTAGGTTACTGTCTAGATACATCGTGTAATTGTTGCAGCTACGAACTGGAATAAATTGAATTTCAAAAATACCTTCAGTTCTGTTGCTACGATATACCTAAATTTGACGCAACTTGTGACACATTATTGGAATAAGCTCTGCAAGATAGTTTCGAAATGCGAAAGGAGTTTTTCTGTTCAAAAAGACCGGTGATGACGTTATTAATCAAAGGTAGTTCTCCCTGTACACAGATCATCGTTTTAAATAACAGTAATTCAAGATCGGAAATCAAATTGTTTCGTGATTTTTGAAAACGTTAGTTATCGTGCTGATACCAAATTTATGCATAACTTGAGACACACTGTATATGTCAATTTGGAATTTTCACCAGAAATGATGAAAAATTGAAGTTTCACTCAGAATCACATATTGATTAGTTGGAAAGGATAATCGAGAAGTATATTTCAAATGAATGAATGAATAATTAAATAAATGAATAAATGGATGAAATAATAAATGGTCTGATTGCTTTTGAAAATATTCAGAGATTATTGTGTTTAATCAAAACGAATTTTTTTCCAAAAGAACAAAAGAAAGGTTTTTTTATAATCAGTTGTTCTAGAGATATGTATGTATTCTCTGCAAATTATTTAAGAAACACATTTTAACTGCCAAGATCCCTCTCCACTCATTTTGGTGACATGAGACAATTTTACCACTGTGTATGTGTTGAAAGCAAATCTGAACGAACATTGACAAGTTGGCGTCTTCAGGATATGAGAAAAACTTCATTTGATTCCAGAAGTTCCAGTACTAACTTATATAGGTTGCTTAATTTCCGTGCTACGGATTTACATTGAAAAGTACAAGTTTTTTCAAACATTTAAAAAATGTGTATGTATATTGAAACTTGAAATATTGGATTTTGGTGTGTTGGGGTAACAGTTTTCTCTTCCGTGAAAGGATCAACTTTGAATCTCTTAATATAGTTTTTCACCGCTGTGATTTACTTTATAACTAGACTGAATACAGTGCAATTCCACCTCGGAACTTGCCATCCAAAATGCTGGCTTCGACAATTTTTTTCAATAACTTTTCAATGACTAATCGTGTGCCGTTGCGAATAACTTTGGTACATGATCAACATATCTTTTGAACTCATTTGATTTCTTCCTCCTTCCGAAAGTTTTCAAAATTATTTGTATAATGATGTAGAAGTGGAAGACAGTAGCTATTCCTTCTAAACGAACCTTTTCTAAAAATATACCCCTTTCAATTTGATGATAGGTACTGATTTTTTGAACTACATGAACTTTGGTTCTATTCAAGCTAGCAATCACCGAATCCTTACAGAATTGCCAGTTCTATGTAAATTATATCCAATAATGTTGAGTATTATTGAAATTACAGATACTTTGATTCTACCATTGATAAGTCAATCAGAAATAATTGTTCATCTCTTTGCCGGAGAAAATCAATGTTCAATTTGGTGTGCATTGGTATGTCGAAAAAATAATTGATTTCATGAGAATGTTATGTCATAGCGTGTTTAGAATTTTTCAAATTTCCGTTTCGACCTGTTTTCATCTACCGAAATTGTTGAACGGGGTATCTACCATATTAGGTAGATGGATTCACTATTGTCGTAATATGAACCGGTAACCTTTCAACCATTAAGTTACACAAAAATACTCTTCATGGCTATTTATCGCAATATTTTGCCCAAGGACAAACTAACAACTAACATAGTGATAAGAAAATAAAGTTTCCGAAATATTAGTTTCCCCCAACTACCTATACAGTATGTGGTAAACGTCTGTCGGAAAATAACCACTTCCCTGGCTAATACCACGCTGGTGTTGAATTATATCCGACAGACATTATGCAAGATTCTTCACAGAGGCTAGTCTCGCAGATGTTTCTAATTCATTCAACAGCAAGACAATGCTGAAATTATTCAAGTAGATCACCTGCAGACCGCGATTTCGAGGTATTACCTCTCGTCAGTACAGGAAAGATCCTATCCAGACGGCAAAGTGTCTGGGACTCGATTAATTTCAACACGGCCCCGCTATATATATATGAAGTCTTCATCTGAGAGGAAGATTGTTAACTAGTATAACATCGTTGAATACAACTGGCCGATACTTGATGAAAATCTATATTAAAAAACTAATTAATACAGTTTATTGCATGATTTTCACATTTGTTTCCCTATACAATAGCTTTCCAAGCATAAACTGAAAGTTACTTCTAAATTACAACCATTTTATACTCTAACCTATTACCTACTCGTCTACCTAATGAATGAATCTGAAAAGATCAGGTATGAATTCATTAAATTTTTCGAAAGTATGCCTGTAAATATACCTATATACGAGTGTTTTTACCTGTAAATGAACAGATTCAATAATGGCGAATTATCCAATTCATTTTAATCGGTCATATGATATTAAAATTTTTTTTGAATTTGTTTATTTCCATACTCTCCAAACAGGTCAAGTTTCAAACCTTTCTTCTGGAAATGAAGGAGCTTGTATTCATGGTTGAACTCATGTCCCTTTGTAATTAAATGAGTGGCATATGTGGAATTCATTTTTCCATTCTGGAAACTATATTTGTGTGTATAAATTATCGTGTGGCTCATATCCGATATTTTCTAAAAGAAATCAAAAGTGAAATTCCAACTGTGTAGGAAGTTGGGAGAGATTAATATTTCGAAATATTCATTTCCTTTTACGTATGGATCTCTACTCGATAGTTTTCACTTTTGATAATATATTAATTCTTTAACAGAAATGCAAGCCGTACTGAAACTCATCATATCATCAGAATGGGACATTTAGATCTCACCCATTTGTTTTTTGTCTATTGTTTCAAAAATTCATCATGATTTCGTAAACTCCACTTCTCCAAAATATGCTTTTTGAGAGTTTTCACTGTTGATGGAAAAAGTTACACCCATCGACCACATTTCAAAGTTGGAATATTCATATGTAGTGATTTCACTTCTCTGATGAATTGATACTTTCTTAGCAAATAGTAATTCCATGTATTCGAATCTACTTAGGATTTATTGATTCCTTCGAGATGGTTATTATTATTCACTTCATTGAATATATTCAGAATGAGAACGATTTTTCTAACTCAAAACTTCAAATTGGTTACTTGAAAGAAGAAGTGGGAGGAGTATGGGTATATTAGAAAAGTTTCATTGCAGCTCTTTAAGCAAGAGTTACTTGGTGAAGTGTTGATTCCACCTCTTTTTAATATTCTTTACTGAACCTTCATGTCAAAACGAATATTTTTATATGTTTGAAAACTGTTATTCGTAATATTGTAGTGAGTGTTTGGCTCAGACTCAGAGAAAAAGTAGTACGGTACTGGATATAAGAAGAACTACTGAATGAAAACAGTACTACTGAATTAAAACATTACTACTGAATAGAAAAATATTACACCGAACTTGTGGAGCCCCAGCTGTTCTGCCTCCTGATTTTCAATATTTTTATCAATGACATAACGGCAGGCACTTCAAATAGAACAACTCTCTTATTTGCTGAAGAACTCGAAATATTTTCCGAAATTGCTTGTTCCAGCGATGCACTCTGCCCCACTCACCATATTTCCAAGCACTTTCTCAAAGGTAAAACCTTCGCCAATCATGATCAGGGAAAAATGGCCTTCGTTGACTCCATCGAATCCCGAGTAACCAATTTTCAACCTGACTCGACCAATTGACTTGTGTTATGCTGGCAAAAGTGCCTTGATTGAAATGTCGCTTATTTCGATTGAATCGAATAAGTATTCACTGAGATATTACAGTATGAAGAAGACTCATAAAAACGGAAATAACTGTTGAAAAAAATCTATTATATCAGAAAATGAATAAAAATATGATATGAAATAAATACTTACGATTGGGGTTTTTCACAAATCTGACATTGAAGCTAAAGGTGCTTCCTCTTGCTGGCATCCAATATTGTATAAGAGCAACATTTTGGGAACTGAGAAAAATTTGTTTCACTTTTTTCTCTCCACAAAATTCACTGAACCTTGACCTCAGCGGCCTTGGATGGTCATGAGGACTGGGAAAAAACTCTCCGTTCAGTTCCCAACCATCAACTACCTGAAAAAAAAATAGAAAACAGATAGATAATCAGTTTTGAAGTAACATCCCCAAATTTGATGTATTATTAGGAAACACGGGATCAACTCAACTAAGGCTAAGACATGTTTTCGCCTTAGTTTGATTATCAACCGAAGATTCTGAAGGAGAAAATATACACGAACTGACTGAAGAGAACAAAATTTGCGCGATAGGCCGTTGTCGAATAAAATCTGAAGTACGAAGCGTTTCGTCTGCTTCACTTCAATAAAGATTGCGATAGTTAGTTTGAGGAACTCATAATAACGATATTGAATGTCGTTGATTTTTGGATTTTTTTCTGACGTTTCGCTGACGTGAGTATCTAGCATCCTCAGAGGTTTATACATCCTGAGTTTATTACCGATGACACCGATGACTAGATATTACGGCCGCGTAAAGCGTATTTATATCGACTCAGGTAGTCTGGAGTACTAATACTTACACCTGATAATATGTCAATAACTCTAGTCGACCCTTTTCTACCTGTCATCATGCTGTTTGCCACTATTAAACTTCTCAGAATAGGATTCCATATTCGGTTGGAATTCCATTCTAAGTCCGCAATTGAGGTTGATAGTGTTCCATGTAAGTGGAATTTTAGATCGTATATCCTCCATGCAGTGTGTCAATTTTAAAACTTACAATGGGCTATATCTCACGAACGAAAGTTGATATCGAAAAATGCGCGAAACTGTTTCTAGGATAGTAAGGGGGAACTGAAGTGACATGAAAGAGAACTCACCCCCATCAATCCACTAGGCCCCACTCACCAAAACTCAAAAACTTCAAATTGCAAACCCCTTCTTGTGATACATCATTGAAAAGACTATAAAAACTGCTATCCAATGATATAAATAATAATTGTACATGACGAAGCAATTATTGTGAAACTTTGGCTTAACCATTCGGCGGTCGCGCGCGGACTGTCACTCCGCAAGTTTAACATTTTTGCGATAGTTTTTTGATAAGCATGTTGGCGGCACTGCAAGTAACAGTAGTCTCCTGAAATATCTTGATAATGATCAGTATAGAGTCACAGGTCAGTGGTTGCATTTGTTCCAGTGTTGTGTCCGTTGCGGAGTGAAACTCCGCGCACCACCTTTCTTGTACCTATTCTTATTTCGAGTTGCGGAATGAAAATCCGCGCGCGACCTTTCTTGTACCTATTTTTACTTGAAGTGAGATTTCAGTAATTGCTGTCATCAAAGGTGAGTCTATAATATTTGATTTCTGAAATGTGTTCAATTCATCCAAAAATTTTAGATGTGCTCCTGGGAACAAGAACAAAGGCATTTGGAAAAACTCATGTCAGAATGTTTGATGGATAATGATACGCCTGAGAATAATTTCGAAACACAAGAGGATATTCTTGAGACACAAAGTATCGATAGTGACACAGAACAAGAAATTTCAGACCTAGAAGATTACAATGATGAAACTCCAAATCAGGAGACATGGACGAACTAGGAGAGAGAACCTGATAAAACATCTTCCTGGTGTGAAGCCATCAGTGACAAACTTGAAGAAGGAAGCAGAAATTTGGTCTCACTTTTTTTCTGATACAATTTTTAATATAATTGTGGAGAACACAAATCAACACATACAAGGAAAACGTTGTTCATTATCAACGAGAAAGAGATGCTAAAGATATCGATTTATTGGAAACCAAGGCGTTCCTCGGTCTTGTATATTTATGCGGAGTTCTAAAGTTTAGTCGCCTGAATCTTGAGGAGTTGTGGGATACAAATGGTACAGGAGTAGAGCTATTTCGACTTACGATGTCTAAACAAAGATTTTGTTTCCTCTTGCAACATATAAGGTTTGATGATTCAACTACACGTGACGCACGAAAGAAATACGACAAGCTTGCTCCCATTCGAGAAATATTTGATAACTTCGTCAATAATTGTAAAACTGCTTACTCTCCGTTTGAATACGTAACCATTGACGAAAAACTCGATGCATTTCGCGAGCGGTGTAGTTTCCGTCGATATATACCCAGCAAACCTGCTAAATATGGCATAAAAATGTTTGCGTTAGCCGATTCAAAAACATTTTATACGAACAATTTGGAAGTGTATGTTGGCCGGCAACCTGAGGGACCTTTTGCAGTGAATAATTCGCCCAAAGATGTTGTTTAAAGACTTTGTGAACCAATAAAAGGAACAGGCAGAAATGTTACAGTTGACAATTGGTTCACCAGTATGGCGCTTTTTGAAAATTTGCAGAAAAATTTCAACTTAACTCTTCTGGGTACCATAAGAAAAAACAAGAGAGAACTGCCTCCAGAATTTGCTCGTCCTTCAAGTCGTCCTCCTCTATCAAGCATGTTTGCTTTTCAGAAAAATGCAACATTAGTCTCTTATATACATTTGACATATAACAACAACCGGGGTTTTTTGAGGAAATACATTTTTTGATGAAATCGTATCACTTCAAAGTTCGTATCAGTAATTTTACTTTTTTTTTATGAGGTTTCAAGTAGCTACTGAATGAGAAAATATTCGATTGATTCAAATTATTTCTCCATAATTTCATCCATCACTTACCTTTTTCTTATTATATCAAACAGATGGAGGCTTATTTCGTTTAATTGGATATCATTTTGAAAAAAATTACTTCTAACACATTAGAAAATTTCCTTGTTACCAAATTATTATACCATTCAAAGTAGGTGTTCACACAGCCAGTGAATCCAGTTTGATAGGGATAATCCGCTTTCCATAGGCTTCAGTGTTATTGAACCAGTTTGATAACGATCGACAAAATTGGTGTTTGCATAGATATTGACGTTGCTTTTAGTAACATCGGTTTTCATAAATCCTTTTTCTAAATGCCTTCTGAATTCTCAAATAATTTCGATTGGAAGACTTTTGATGTATCCTATTGACTACTATCAGATGATTATATTTTGTTTTCATGTCAAGTATCTCAATATTCACTCTACTGAATGATCTTTCGATCTGAAACCTACATATACTCCTACAAATGCATAAACAGCAATATATATTACAGATCAGGTTACATACACTCAAGGTATATTTCGTTTATTTTCCGAAATAGTCAGGGCTGGAGAAAAACAGTTTGGAATCGACAAATCATTTCACAACGTGGGATAAAAGAAAAAACATAATCGAAATGTCGAATAATTTTTTCAGAAAACAGGTAATAAGTAAAACATATTTTTATTGAATATAGGTTACAAAAAATAACTTTTGTCTATTTTCTATTTCCATTTTTTGTGACCGGTTTGCTTGAAAATAGTTTAATAAACTCAAACAAGTCTTAACAAATAAAAATCTCAGTAGAAATTAGATCAAAGTTATTTTTCCTTTCCTTGATTCAATGAGTGAAAGATTATCGAATCCAAAAAGGCTAAAAATTAATGATTTTCCACAAAGAACTTTCCACATACACAAAACACACATGCACTACCTCCAACCGAACCTTGTGGATGGTGCCAGTTTCTAGTTCAACGCCTCTACCATCGCTGGGCGTCGCTCCAACATCCAGTGCAGCCACTTTTACTACTGAAGGAAATAAGGTGCTCAAACTGCAGTTCGTCCTCTTTCCATAGTTTCGGAGGGTGTATATGTCATCCGTTTGGAACAATACGTTACAGGCTGAAAAGATAGTGAACAGTTTTCATTGGCTGTAAAAATGTCTCCGCATCTTGAATATATCTGATGGAGAACAGAAATGAATTGAACTATGGTCAATGACTTTTTTCTCGTATAATTTTGGCAAAGAGCGCTAATATTTCTGAACAATTTTATTCCGGTTCTACTTATCCTCCACTTCAAAGTTAACTCTGTACCGGGGGTTCCTTTTATCTTAAGGTTGGATGCCTCCCCGTCTTGGTGGTGAAAATTAGTTCATTGAGAATCAGTGCCTGAATGGATAAACTGACTGATCCTAAGCAACTTTTGTTTCATAAAGTTTTTTCGAACAATAAACCCACACTTTCAGACGGTTTTCAGCGAATAACTCAAATATGAAGTACTTTTTTAGAAAATGTTTTCCCAGTGAAAATATAGCCTATAAAAAACCCAATAAAAAAGTAATAGCTTGTTGAAGGTTGGTTCTTACTCGTCAAACGTACAGTTACAATAAAACGCATTATTCAAGGGTAACTCCTAGAAACTTTCTATAAAAGTCCTCAATATTAAAACTGAGCGAATTATGACGAGAATAATGTTGGTGCCGTTATTTTTGTTGCTTATAACTTATAATATGATCCAGGAGTTTGACCGGTTTACAGTGCTTGGTTACATTTCTTGGTCCACAATGCTTGATTATTTTCGTCATAAGTTACTTATCCAGAACAAGCACTTTTCTCAATCATCAGAAATGCAATACCCTTCTCGTAGCATGTTTCAACAATGAAGTTGGCGTCTTCAGGATATGAGAAAAACTTCATTTGATTCCAGAAGTTCCAGTACTAACTTATATAGGTTGCTTAATTTCCGTGCTACGGATTTAACAGCGACTTCATTATTTATATTGTGTGAACAAAATGGATGAGATTCACAGACATTCAGTTTTGCGTGGCTTCTTTAGGAAAAAATGTGTATATTATTCATTTTAACAACTAAACATTTCGGTAATAACTATAAATTATTTCTAGGAAATTTATAGGGTAGTGGTGTAAGAACAATAATACATAAATGATATCAATCCCTCAGTGCTATAGTGTGTAAAGTATTTTTCGTTAGTTCATGTTTAACGAGCACAAACTCACTGGATGGTTTGTCTACTCGAGAGCATGCCAAGAAAAATTTTTCGTGTGAAAAACACGGTGGGTTCAAATTCAAGCCACAAAGGGACATTGTTTTGGCCTTGGAACTTAATAATAGTCATTGCAAATGCCAATCTCATTGAAAATTGCACACGCTCAAAATGAATTGGCACATCTGTAGGTATAATAGGAATTCGTGGTATTATTTATTTCCACCTCGGAACTTGCCATCCAAAATGCT